ATAGCATTTCTTTCTATTATTCCAATTATAGTGGAACATGTATTCCCATCAGCTGAATGTATCTTTTTGCTTATCAGACATTTTTCTGCTTTGATGGTAAAACTGCACTTTTTCAAACTACCTGAGGCTTCAACTACTGGGACACTATTCTGAATTAAGGCAAATTCAATCAGCAAGTCTTCTATGATTTCTTTTAAGAGATATAAAATTGACTTTTGTTTTTTTTAAAAAAAGTTTCTTAACTAAGCAATCCCCTCCAGCTCCACTTTTTAATAGCTTGAGTCTACCATGTTTCTTTATTTTATTTTGATTCCCTATTATATATATCATTTTCCCAAAATAGGCTTGAAAGGAGTGATGTTGGAGCATGTTAAGCCAGCTAAGCAGTCAATCAAGAAATGTCTGAGTCATTAACAGTTACAGAACAGGTTAAAAAAAAAAAAATCCAGAATAGACAGAAGATTAAAAACTGGCCCAAACAGTTACTCTTTATAAATTAACATGATACGGTAACTGCCATGGATCAAATTAAAAGATTTTCAAGTAACATTAATGGATTGATTAGTTTATTCAAAAGGAGAAAAGGTCTTTTTGAGTTAAAAAAATAAAAATGTACATAGTATATGACTTCAAGAAATTTGTATTAAAAATGACAATATTAATTTGCTAGAATGTAAATGACTTGGCCAGAAATTTGTGGCCTTGGCACATGAAAAAAAGAAGGGGGGGTTGGGCTAGTCATATATGTTAGAAACTTGCTATGGACTTTGGAAAAACAGCTTCAAGTTCAAGAAGGCAGATTGCAACTATTATGATTTTAGACTGTATATTTATTTATCTATTTATCTTACCTATTCAACATATTTCTATGCCACTGCAATCAAATAAACTCTTGTCAACTTACATAGAAAAAATGCAATATCAAACATGTCCAATACAAAAAATAAAAACACAATGGCACTACAACAATATAAAGAAGGTCGAATAAAAACGATGGAAAAATCAAATCAGGCAAGGCTCTTGGAAGCAGCTCAGCCTTCAAGAGCCAAAAGGGAGCTAGTTTGATCTCCATAAGGGGGCTCTTCTGCAGTGATGGTGCTGCTACAGAAAAACAGCACCTCCTTGCCCCAGGCCCCCACACCTCCTAAGTTGGGATTTGCAGCAGTTTCTGTAATGGGCTGTGAGAATAACCTTGGGAGGCAGGAGGAAGAGCCGCAGCCTAGACTGATAAGAGAAATCTGAGTCCAAAGGAGGGATGGGGGTAAAGCAAGCATCTCAGGAGGAACCCTTCCTAGTTTTCTGGAAAGTAAAAGCAGGGGATGGGGGAAGTACTTTTAGACTTGCAAGATTCTGTTACTATAACCTTACAATAAAGGTAGTATTAGTACTCGTGGTTTTGGTTTCTTGTTTGGACTACCTTGAAGGGCTGACAGTTTCTCCCTTTTAGTCTAATCAGTCAGGCTGAAAGTGACTGGAAAAGATGGTCCTATAGGTATCCGGGTGTCAGCTTACAAAGGCTTTATAAATCAAAACAAACACCTTAAATTGGACCCAAAAGATCTTTTCAATCACTTATTGAAATTGCAGAGGGAGTTATTTTGATTCTTGGAGATCTGAAATCCCCCTCCCACCAAACTTTGATAAATCTGGACCATCTAAAAAGCACTCTGGCAAGCTAGCCCAAATGTTTCAGATTCTATGTCATTACTCTCACTGTCAGATGCATGGAGACACAAATACCCTCTAGGATATACTTTTTACTCTTCTGTCCATAAAACACACTCAAAAATAAACATGTGTTGGATCACCAACTCATTATTAACTAAACTGATAGATATGGATTAGCAACTCTTTTAAAAATACTTTTATTAAAGATTATAATTGCAATAGTAAAAACTAATGCAACCTAAAAGAAAAAAAGAAGAGTAGAAAGAAAGGGTAAAAAGTGCAAAGGAAAAGAAACAAAACATGAAAGAAAGAAAGAAAGAAAGAAAGAAAGAAAGAAAGAAAGAAAGAAAGAAGAAAGAAAAAGAAAATTACTTCTGACCTTCAACACAAGTATAAACAATTTTAGTAACTTTTCACCTAGATATGGATGTAGCAGCTCTTACTTAACAGAGATAATCAAATAATTGTAAGACTAAACAGAGGAACCTCCAAACCAAAAAGGTGGTAATGTAACAGTTGATTGTTACTGCAGGAAGATATTAAAATTAGTGTCAACATGAATTAAAGAGCTTCTTTTAAAGTAACTATTAACATTTTTCTATCTATAGGATACCAAAATAAAGATGAAATCCTTCAAGATTCTTTCCTCAGAATGGTCAGAACCACTTTGCTGATTCAACAAACACATAGTATAGTTTTAAGGGAACTACAAAAACAAGATGAAGATATTAGTGAATTTGAAAAAAAATTATAACACAAAATTCAGAATGTTTGTTGGAGCTTATGTACAAATTCTTGGTGAAATACAGTTCAGAAACAAAAAAAAAGTTAAAGACTATATGATTAAATTTAAATAGGTCAGTTGTTATGCAGCAATTGAAATATAAATGGGAGACAAATATTAAATTTACCATGAATATCACACTTTAGTAAAACTGGTACAAGACATTTCCCTGATTGTATATTACTCCAGTACTGATTGCTAAACTCATTTTCTAAAATTGTTGCACATGTAGCAATCAAGTTAGTCCCCCCACCCCCCAATATTTGGTGGCAATACTGTGAAGCCCAGCAATTCTGGAAGATGATTTATTAGAGGATGAACCAAATTTTAAACATTGACTTTAACACAATACAGTTATTTTTGTGTTAAACATTACTAAATCTTTTATTCTGATCAAGAATATTGTGTTGGTTTTGTATATGTTAACAGCTGCCAGGACACTTTATGCCTCTTACTGGAAATTATGTGCAATTCTTTCTATAGAAGAATGGCAAATTAAGCTGTGGGCGTATGCATCAATGCTAGAAATAACCTTGTATTTGAAAAATAAGTCTGATATAGAATTTAATTTAATTTAATTTAATTTAATTTAATTTGGAAACCATTCATGAGTTATAATTTTGCACATGGGCTGGTACTACATCCAAAGTTTGGTTTCCTGTTAACATAGGGCTTTAATATCTAAGCCTCTGCTTGACTTTAAAAGGGTAGAAATCTAAGAGACAGAAGTTCTTATTTTAACCAATTTTAATGATACTGATTGTTGTTAGTTATTACATAGTGACTTGACTTTAATAATGTTCTGAAGTGCTATATCCTGATATAAGATAATTTAATATGTAGCAATAATCTAATGTTAAATAAATTTAATTCAACTTTGTAATGTGTAAATCTCATTTTATTTTCTTGTTTTTGTTCCTACATTTATTTTGTCTTTTTATTTTTCAATGCTTATTATAATTAATACAAAAAAGAAGGTGCCTGATCGTACTATTTGCTCTGCCCACCTGTAAGCAATTACAAATCATGATTGAAACCCCAGACAATTCATATTTTTACCCACTTCATTGCACAGTAAAGCTGAAGGACTTTTTCTGTTTCATGGCACTTTACTCACTTTTCATACTGTTTGTAGCTTTTCTTTGCCGGCACTCCTGTGACTGCAGCTTGCAGGATGGGTGGGTGATTATGTTGGCAACTCTGTTGCAAAAGCCACTCTTTAAATATCCATTATGGTTTCTTTTATGTAGCCATAGTGTGTCTTCTGAACTGTAGCAGACAGAATATGATTTGCATTACTTATAAGTATGTAGCATTCTGAGTGACTCTTGCCAAGTTATTCACAGAATTTCCAGTGATATCCAGAAAGGAAAATTTTTGATATAAATCCATGATCTTCTTTCTCTTATAATAAAGTTATCTACACAAATAAAGCCTAATTTCAAACAAGATGTTCTGGGTAATTGTTACTTTCTCCTGCTTGGATTTCATGCTGCCTTAGTAATAGTGGAATTGTGTGGGACTCCTTATGATAAATTTTGTGAACTACTATTATTCCATTAATGGAATGTTATTAGAGGTGTGTAGAATCAAACCATGCAAAAAAGAGCAGTCATACTAAGACAGGTAACATTTAAATGGGCTCATATTTCTTTGTTCCAAGTGTGTGTTAATAGCTCTCTTCACTTATTCATAATTCTAACTGTGCAGCTAATGGGAAATGTTGTCTTTCAGCTGTAGTTCCTCGAACCATAGTCTTCCAGTGCTGAGGTGTCAGTTCTGAACAGAGGCTCTAACTACATTCATTCAAGCATGGTTTACTAACCACAGGACTAGGGATTCTGCATTGTATAGAGGACTGACCATGATTGTGTCCAGCTAAATGTAGTTTTGTCATGGATAAAATCTATGTGGTTGCTAGGAGTTGAAAACAACTTGATTGCTCATAGTCAGTCAGTCAGTCAGTCAATCACCCAATCAATCAATCAATCAATCAATCAATCAATCAATCAATCAAATGTAGTTACAATTCTGTGCAGAATGAAGCTGAGAAGATCAGGGAAACAATTGATCCATAAGATACAGAGGGATTATTTTAATCAATATTTTATGTAACTCTCTCTGAGCTGAATCACAGAGATGTTACTGTAGAGATAAAACAAGTGGTAATCCTTAACTAGACCACCTTAGCTCCTAGAGAAAAAGTGAGATAAGTTACGATTACTACTACTACTATTATTTCCCCTGCAATTTTTTTCCAGAACTTCAGTAGTTTATTAAAAGCATCCAGATGCAATTCTGTCTTTGTAATGACTGTGACTAGGCTTAGTTCCAAAATGTTTTGTTTTACCCCTTTAATACCCTTGCCAAATAATCATTAACTTTTTGCTTTTGTTAATTTTCCTTGTGGCTTTCTGTCTTTCTCCCTATAGCTGTTATCTGAACTCTGTTTGTCTTTTAATAAATTATACTTCTATTTCTAGGTAATACACATGTTTCTGCTTTGTTGTACAATGCAAAAATTAAATGATCTTCTTTTCTTTTTCAGCATTTTGTGAAGAAGGATGCAGATATGGTGGGACATGTGTTGCCCCCAATACATGTGCCTGTCCTTCTGGATTCACAGGAAGTCACTGTGAAAAAGGTAATACTCCAATTGCCTGCCAGGAATTTACTCTGCCTTACAAATTGCAACTACATATAATTTATACTGTTTCATTTATATATACTTCAGTTTTTATCTGACTATTTATATCAAGAAAATGGATCGCCTAGGTTTAATATAATGCAGTAATTTCCCACATGTATGGTATAAATCTGTAGCAGATCAGGCTTCCTAACCTGCAGAGGTGGTGGGAGGAATACTGTGAGGTAGGAATACCAGTGGTGGTAGGAATACTGGGAATTACAGCTTCAAAGTATCTGGATGTTGCAAAATTAGGGAAGGCTAGTGAAATTAAATACCATGAATAGATGCATGTTATTGCCCAGTTCTGGCTGAACTAAGTTCAGTGATAACCAGATAAATGCATAAACTGTCAAATGGGTTGAAGGAAAACGTAGGCAATGTGACACAAAGTATCTTGTATACACTGATCATAAAACAAAATTAGATGTAATCGGATAGTATATTGTACAAGTTGATAGGGCTATGTACAAAGAGAGCAAGGAACAATGGAAAGATGGCTTGTCAGATCCTGGACAGTAAAAGGGGTTTTCTATATGCTACAGAGGACAGAAGTTCATCTTCATCATCAAATTTGTTTGTACATTGCCTTTCCATAAACCCAATCTTCAAAGACATATATGTAAACTGGAATGACAATGCACAACAATGACCAACAGTTGTACAATAATTATAGAGCAATAAGTATAACTTCAGTAAAAATTATATATTTCTAATTAGGTTCTAATTAGATTTAGATAACAAACTCATTGGAAAAACATGTGAAAGAATAAAACCTAAATATCTGTTCAATAGATGTTGTATAAAATACCAATAATTAAAACATCCTTAATGGATTTAATAATTCATAGCTAATTGCTTGACATCAGCACCCACTCCCAATTACTTAGTATTTTAATACTATTACTCTTGATGCACCAAATAAATACTCATTAAAAACAACTGAAAGTCACACATAGATGATAAGCTAAATCAAATTGAAATAGAAAATTAGATGCACCCACAACAGTTCAAATACTGGCTTGTATTTTCTAGATCCACATATAGATAAGACTGAAGCATAATTTCTTAGCAATTAAAAAAACAAAACAAATCATACCAGACAAAGGCTTCCTAAGGCATCTCAAGCCATATCTGCCCTCTTACCTCAAGCTCCTTCAGAATGTCAAAAAAAGGAAGAATAAATCTTTGATCTAAGGAGTTACTGACTTTGTAGATGAACTGTTTCCAGTGGATGTTTTAAAGCTTTCAGGTTAGAGCTACTGGTGTGTGTGGAGGGGGGTGGGGTGGCATATTCAAATCATCCAAGTCTATAATTTTGCAAATCTAGAGTTTGCAGCAAAAATATGTCAACCAATCAGTCATTCCTCTCCACAAACTTATTATAATTATTTATGAAAACTACAAATTAAGGACCTTGGACAAAGCAATCCATTGTCATTGTGAAATAGCAACACACTTGAATAGAGAAACTATGAGAGAGTCGAGAAATGATTTTGGTCCAAAATGCAATGTGGCTAGATAACACATCTGCTTTTCAAATTGCTTTGGTTACCAGTAGGCTTCCAGGTGCAATTCAAGATGCTGGTTGTTACCTACAAAGCCTACATGGTGTCAGGTGTAGCTATTTGAAGGACTGTCTCTCTCCCATTGTTTCTGCTGTCCTGTAAGCTCAGACATGCTCTGGTCCCATCAACTAAGCAATGCCACTTCCACTGCAGTAACCATCCATTCCTGTTCTGATGCCTGATGTTGTTCTATTTCTTTTGTTTTCAGTCTGCACACCAGCCACATTCTTTGAGAAGTTGGGTGGTTTTAGAAATATGCATTATAAATTAATATAAATAAATTGCTGCATTTGAAAGCCTTTCTGAATGACAGAGATTGTGGTAACATATTCCTGAATCGCCAGGGAGGGAAGGGAAGGGAGGTAAATTCTAAATAATTTACACACAGATACCAGAATACTGGAAGCTAATTAAAGCTACTCTTTCTGCCCTTGTTAACTAAGAAATGATTAAATAGTGCTTAGGAGCTAGACTGAGAGTTGTGGATTGCAAAAATGTGGCTCTGAGTTTCTTGATGTAAATAACAATTATGGCAATATAGAGAATTTTAAAGGTTAACAAAATACTTCCCTCATTAGAAGAAACAACAGGAGGGAACATATACATTACATAACAGTGATAGGCTACAATGCCCTGTAAACTACCACTACACGAGGCATTTTACTGGCAGATTAATACCATTGTTTGGAAGTGCTCGAGTGAAGAACTCATTCCTAGTTTTCTATTGCAGAAAGTGAAGGGTGAGGGGAGTTTCAAAGGAAGATATATCTAAAAGATGCTTAGCAAATTTCTGGGGATATCTATGAAAAGAATACAGAAATGTAGAAACAGCTGTGCAAATAATAGCAACAGCTACATTATTTCCATGCAGAAACAAACTTTCTGAAGATGTAAGTGCTCATAGTGAATCCTGAAATGGTGGTGGTACAGGAGACACTTCCCTCCTTTTTCTCCCCCTCTCCTAGTATTATTATTATTACTATGATTGCTTGGTCAGTTCAATTCAGTTCAGTTTCTTTTTCTGAAAGAGATTAATTGAGGATGCTGAATTTCAATAACTTACTCATTAGCTACTAGATTAATGACAGTAGGGTTTGTTTGCACTGACATATGGAGTCAACTGAGCAAAAGCTATATTATTGAACGGATGTTATATGATGCAAAATTAGGAATGAGCTTCATAATCAAAGTGGTTTGGTTGTGGATGTGGTTTTTGGCACATGTGCTTCTATAGCATTTTTCCATTTGATAGTAATGCAATGTATTATTAATTATTAATCAGTGTATCAGTTTTTACCCTGCAGCCCTTCTCTGGAATGCTTCAAGGGGCAAATTGGAACTATGACTTACAGATCTAGCGTGGTTTCTGTTATTCAGACAGGTACTTTTGACTCAAGGGATGGAAGGATACAGGCTTAAATTATGCAGTCTTTTATTGCTACTCCCAGTTATAACAAGGCATGTTAGATAAAATTAGTTAGCTTCATATTAAATTATAAAAAGTGATTTTTTTAATGTCCAGTTTAGTAAAATTATCCAAAGAGAGTGTTTTTTTCTCCCACAACTCAAAATTGTGGCTAGAAAGGGTCCAATCATCAGTTATTTTATACAAAGGCATTAGAAGTGGATGAATAGGTATGGTGAATCATCTGTTTTCAGTGACATCTATTTGCTATACTGTGTTTAAAAAGTGTCCTTGGCAGTGACTCAGGGCCATTATTTATGCATTATTTGCAACAGTAGCCTATCTATTGGCTTTGCTTCTAATTACCTGAAGGTGTTTTACTCTTCAGAAAAAGTGTAAGATAAGCTTGTGGCAGTTAAAAATTATCACCCAACAGCTAGTGGCTTTATTTTGTAGGATGACGGATCAGGGATTTATCAGCAAGCAATACAGAACTGATGAAATTAGGCTCAATGGGAATTTAGTGGTTGCTGAATGCTCATGTTTTATTCTGTTGTTAGGAGTGGGATACAAAGTGAAAATGTTATTGGACTTAGAAGTCAATTGTGCCATGTTCTTAGGAAAGATTTGCCAGAGATAATGGCCTTTGCAATTTACAGTAGACTTGAACTAATAGAACACTAGAGTTTGACTTAGGCCTGCCTTTGGCATAGCGCTGAGCAAGCTTACTGAATGTAAGACAATGTGAGACAATTTTGTGGCTTTTAAAAAAATAGAACATTTAGTTTCTTATGATTTACTCTAAAATGGCACATCAGACATTTTATGCAGACATAGCAGATCTATTTTTGCAGTGGGGGTTGGGGGGGAGGAGGGGAGGACCTGTATTTTTGCTCCTTGATAATGAACACAGAAAAGCAGAAACTTCTAGTTCTGAACCCATGAATGTTTTTAAGGCCTTCCCTCCATTGTTCAGAAGAGGAGAAAATGGATCCCTGCCATCCATTTTTCAACAGCAAATAGATCTCCCATCATCCCCCCAACCCTTCATTCTTTCATTCTATTGTGGCTTCAGTGGATCAATCTATTTCTAGCCAATTAAAGATTAAGTGACAAAACTGAAAATGTCAAGGCATCTAATAGCTAACTAGCTTTTACTGTGTGACAACATCACTGAAGGCAAAGTATGCTATTAATTTTTTCCACATTTGGTCTGAATGAAAGCAGCAGGGCTGACATTTTGATACATGGTGTAGTTATGGTTTTAGCACAGCAAAAAGGGATGTTGGCCTTTCCCTCTTTCCTACTGCTTCTCTCTCACACACACAACCTGAGTTCCTTCCCACACTCAGGTGCCATTCTGATCCATACTCTTCTCACTGTGGAGAAAAAGTGAAAACCTTCCCCTTGAAATTTTTGAATTGGATTAGTAATATTTTAGTTGATATTGTTGCTTCTTAATTGTTTATATTTCATTTAGGCTATTCCAATTAGAGCCATCAATGAACAGAAGGGTGTATTCTTTATTGAATTAATACATGACTAAATATATAAACAAATATGAACTTCCTTCCAGTATTTTTAAAGCAACAAACTCTTTTGTTTAAAGCAACAAAAGTGTTGGATGTTCTGCCACTCCTTATTTATTTGCTGCTGCTGCTGCTGCTGCTGCTGCTGCTGCTGCTTCTTCTTCTTCTTCTTCTTCTTCTTCTTCTTCTTCTTCTCTCTTCTTCTTCTTTTTCTTCTTTTTCTTCTTTCTTCTTTATTATTATTAT